TACACTTGTAACACAGAGAACAATCTCCTACAATCCTTGGACCTTATCTTCCCAACAGCTCTTTACACACCTTGGCCAAGGCACCCTGATAAAATTTTAGACAAACAGAAGCTAGTAATCGCTTCTTCATCGACAACAACAACAGGACCACTCTCTGATACTGAACACATTCCTATCATTTATGCATATTTCCTCAAAATCCCTATTATCTTTCCAGTTCGCCCCTTCTCCAGCTAATTCTCAGGCTCTGGACTGGGTCTCTTAATAGAACAACGCCTAAACACTCTGATCACTAACACATCATACTATGCAATAGACCAAGTATTAGACATTCGACACACTAATTCAGAACGTATTTCACAAACAAAACCCAAAGGCTACAGAGGTTGTCCCAATGACACGCACATCAATGGTTACGATACTCTTCTTCGGCCCATCAGAAAGAACATAAAGATTACTACTATATGTTACAGACACCGTTTCCTAGCAAAACCAAAACAGATCAAGTAATCATCCGATGGGGACCTCACTGTTTTACCGTACACATATCTTCCATAGCCTAGATGTTGACCACGCCCGACATTGGCATTCAAGTTATAAATCACTTACAGATGTACAAGCGTACAGAGATCCTAAAAGCATTCTGGTCACTCCATTCGGAAACTTACAGGCACCCCTCTGATCCTCAACCTTAGGACACATAAACAGCGGACAACAGACAGATCTCTGGACCCTGCTTGAAGCGGTACATATTTTCAAAGACATATGGGGAAACATCTTCACCCACATCCACCAGACTGAAGCTTCATGGCACACAACCAGTAAACATAGAGAGATGCGGTATCCCAAAACATTGAAGATAATAACTATTCCTGATCAAGTCATAAAACCTAAAAACCCTAACTCCACACTATCCTCTAAACTCTCCATTTACTGTAAATGTTTGTAGACGTTGATGTACTTCATTGTACTCTACACACCTCTCTACTCTCACAAAAAAAGCTCCAAGGTTGCTTCAGGTCTGTCACATTCAGTCCTTCGTCACCTTTCCACTTTCTGCTGCTTCTGCTCAATCACTGACCTCTATTAATGCACTTCTAGCATCTGGCTATTTCCATCCATTCTTTTAAATCGGCAACTGCATGTCTCTATACCAAGAGAACCTGGGGAAAGACTTGGACTGACCCCTAGAACTAAGACCAATCAGCCTTCTTGAAATTTTAGGTAAGGACCTTTGAACGACTAGTAATATTGCGACTCAGGACCTACTAGAGACACATAACTTGCCTGTACTGAAAGGACAGAAGAGCAAATCATATCCATACATACATCCGGTTCTCGTACTGCTACGGTTGTTTTCCCTTCCGACTCAAAAAACGATCTACCAAAGACGGTTTGAATGTGATCCTTGAACTCATATTGCGTTTGTCAATGAAGCCCAGAATTCTGTACCTCTACGACCCTCGTAGCCAAAGATGTTAGAATGAAGATTTTGACACTGAATTTGGCATGATAGGGATTAAAATACAGAATCTTTTGCACGCTTCCTTTGACTTAACTTTAAATATGATGAAATTATTATGTTCATTTTTTTAGATGGAAGAACGAAGAGCGTATACGGTTCAGAGATCATATTCTGTACTATTTCACATTAAAGCTGGTGTACCCCAAGGCTCTGTCCTACTCTCCCACCACTATTATACTACTACACGATTTTTACCAGAACTCTTTACCCTAACACAATTACCCTTTCCTACGCTGACGACATCACTCAACTACTGACTCATGAAAATTTCGTTTCCTTTGTAAGCAGGGAGAGATCAACAAAGCAGAGGTCGTCTGGATTACCGACTGGGAGTGATATATTATTAGGCGCATCAAAACCAACCCCAATAAAGTCTCTGAAAGAATCACTTACTTCATGTAGAATGCGAGATGTCCCCACTCCTGTCGAACTCAAAACAAGCACCTCCGTACGCCCCCATCCCACGCTCTTTGTCAAGACAGTTTTGTCCTTGGTATTACCCTCGAACCACACACTGAGCTTCAAATCCACATCACTACAAAGACCATTACTGCGAGACGTGCAACTGTGACTTCAGGGTGCTTAAAAGCGCGAGGAGCCAGTCCCAGAACAAAACTACATCTTTTAAAGCTCTCATCGTCATCTACTCTCATACTTTACACTCGCTTTTAGACGTCATTGCCAAGACAAACGCACTAAAATTTCAACGTTTCCAGAATCGTGCATTACGTTGGGTTGATTAGGGGGGAGTGAGGTGGGACTTGATTTGCACTTAGTGAAATCTCTCCCCCTCACGACAAACACACCAGCTCTTGAACGTGTAACTGGAAGAACAACTTAGTGACAAAACAACTTGACGGATTGAAACATATCATGGACTATTGGAATACTTACTTAGAGGAATACTACTCAGAGTCCGTACAATGATGTAAAAATCTTTTTCAATGTAGTGAGTGAATGAAGTCGGCACCTCTCACCAAAATACTCATACTTGTATGATTTTTGCTAACAATATAAATATAACTTAAAAAAGTGCCATTGCAGTATAGCTGTTTGTCTTTGTGCGTTTTTTTGGGGATGAATGTGCTTGAGAATTGCGTTTTGGTCGCCTTTGCTCAACAACAGCCCTGAACCATATCCAGTCATTGCAGATTGAGTGCTTCAGTCTGAGTTGTGACCTGTCAGCACCCGCAGAGTCCCTGTTAGATTTTTATTGTCGTCTTCGTTATTGTTTATCCAGGCTTAGCAGTTGGGTCTAGTCCTGACTTGTTCTGTCTCTTCAACTCAAGACAATTCCTCTCACCATCTCTATTCTTCGCCACTGTCCCCACTTGCCCCCTAGCCCCTCGGGGTCCTAACTGTGAGTCATATCCTATCCTATACTCCGCACAAATTCAGATTTGAGACATGTGTTAGTCCCTCCGAGTAAACGCATGCTGAGATATCATTGCTCCCTAAAACTTCAGGTGATGAGTGGATGCCAAGAAAGCTGGAAAAAGCCAGATGTAGCAATTGCAAAAGGGCGACAAGAAGTAGAAGGAAGAGGAAGGGGAGCTACAGTACTACATACTACAAGTGCGGAAGCACAGTCCATCCTGTTTACTGGCATCTCGTCCAAGCAATGTCGATCATGAATTCATTTTTCGTGAACGACATCTTTCTGAGCGCATTGCAGCTGTGTGGAATGTTCTCGCTAGCTCACTACAACAAGCGTTCTAACCATTTACTAGTCGCGAAAATCCCAGAGACAGCAGTAAGGCTCTTGCTACCTGGAGAACCTGCTAAGCACGCTGTTTTCGGAGGGCACCAGGCTGTAACCAAATACACCTCTCTCTAAGTAAATGGCAGAATGCACTCTCAAAGAAGGAAAAATTAGGCTCATTGGAGCCACAGATTGATTTCAAAGAGCTATTGACTAAACAAAAGAAAATTAAATTTATCTATTTATTTATTTATTTTTTTTTATTATCTGAAATGAAACAAATTCTCATTATTAGTTTAGTTAGTAGACCTAATTCTTGAAAGATTTTCTTTATAACTAGATTTCTTACTGGTCCCTATTGTCTTTCAGTTTGTAGCTTTCAATTCCACCTCAGTATAAGTTATTCTTTCGATTACTTTTCCCTCCCCACAAATAAAGGCAAGGAAAATATAGGCAGAAAGATAATGAGATAACAGTATTACAGGAGCATTGTTGGTGCAGTGGCTACTGAAAAAGGCTGATTTCATATGGCTAACAAGGGGTGTTTAGTATTTCTGTTCTTCTACCCCATTCTTTCTATACTATCTGATTAACCTACAATCTATATATCCATAGATATAATATAAATATTTTATATATCCATATGTGTATCCCCTACCCATCCACGATGGGGTCCTTTCCTATGCCTTGAAAGTTACCTACCTGTCTGTGTGGGACATTGCAACAACATTTAACAATAGTAAGAGGACTCTTTGCTGTTTATTATATATTAACATCATCTAGGAGGTAGCTATATAAATAGTCTTGTTATTATTTATTATTATTATGCATTAGTCTCTGATAGTCCATCTACTTATAAAATTATCTTGTGGCCCTAATAAGGGCCTTGAGATTGATATGTATACGTAGGGTTGGAGTCCTAAGCACGTTCTCACGGATGCGGCGAGCTAACCTGAATTTGTCCTAGGCATGATGGTAACACGTTAGCTATGGATGCACACTGTTAGTATGTCTTCAAAGAGACCAACCTAAGTAAGCCTCAGAGGGGCCTCTTGTTAAACGCCATGACTCAGATGATACGACTGAGAATCCGCGAGGTCAGTCAGTCTAGAAAATCTTGAGCAATCTGTCACGTACAAGTCGCTGGAATGGAAAGTTTCTGATGAGCAGCTCAGTGTGTCTTCTAAGATAGCGATAGCGACGGGATCTCACGTAGAGCAACGGTACCAGGCCTGTAACGATGAGGCTTCTTGACACCTCCAGTGGCAGGTGCAGACTTGCGGGCTGCCTTCGTAGCCAGCTGCTTTCGAGGAGCCTTGCCTCCCGTGGACTTGCGGGCTGTTTGCTTAGTGCGAGCCATTCTGTATGACTGATATGAAAAATTTCCCATTCATTCATTCATTAAAGATATGCCGGTACTTCCGGCCCGGGTCTTCTCCAGATGGTGACCCGGCGGTGGCCCCCGGGGCGGGGGTGTCGATCGTCTTCTTCATTCTTCTATCTTCTCTCTTGGGCCCTCCGGTTGGAGGGTAACTTCTTCTATCTTGCACTGACTCCCCAAGTGGGGAGTGTCTTCTTTCTTTCTCGTCGGCAGGCATCGCAAGGTCAAGGGTCTTCAGGCACTTGTAGCCCCGTCAAATGTTGGTAGTGCGGCATTGGTTCTAGGTGATTCAGACTTTTACCTAGAAAGCGGTACAGGCTCCATTGGATTTTTTTTTTTTTTTTTTTTTTTTTTTTTTTTTTTTTTTTTTTTTCTTTAAAGCGGGGGGGGGGGGAGAGGAGGTAGGGGAGTGAAAGAGGGAAGAGTAGGAGAGGTGATAGATGGAGCGTAGTGGCGACTCGTAGTTGTATGTGGCGGCGTCATCGAGGTGGTGGGTGGGCAGCCAGGATGGGGATGAGAGTTCCCAGGTCTTGGGTGGCTAGGTACACCAGCCGGGCTGCGGTGTCTTCTCGGTTCGGGTCCCCAGGCGCCATTGGGAAGTGCCTTCGTCGGAGTGACACCGTCGCTGGACAGTCGAGGAGGTAGTGCACTAGTGGACCTGGGACCATCTGGTTGCAATGGCAGCAGCGCTCCTCTCGCACACGGTCAATGAGTCTTCTGGCAGTAGGGTAGCCAAGTCGCAGCCGGTGGACCCCAACCTGCAACTTTCTGTCTAGCCTCCGCATTCTCGGCGGGGGCTCCCCACGGGTCGCCCTGTCATACCAGATCCGGCTCCGCGATGTGCCTGGCCCTGGTAGCGGGCGCCTGGCTGCATGAGCTGCCCACAGATCCACCTGCCTTCGGCTGATAGCAATGGTGGTCACTGGCTGGGCCTCAAGGGTTGCCGACTTCGCCGCTCGATCTGCCGCATCATTCCCAGCGAGGTCGATGTGGCTCGGTATCCAGTTGATTGTTGCTTGCTGTCCCTGCTCCTTAAGTGTCTGCAGGTCCTTCCTGATGGCAGTAATGAGCCGGATGTTGTCCCTGGGCTCCCTGTGCATGACGGCCTGGATCGCCGCTCTGGAGTCCACATGAATGACTGGGGGTCGCCGATGATCCAGGAGTGCGTGTTGCAGGGCCCTCTGGATGGCATGGAGTTCTGCCTGGAGAATTGTGCAGTGATCTTGGAGACGCCATCCAGCCGTCAGAGTGGCGTGGTGCACCCCGGCACCTGTGCGGCCAGCCTCTGGATCCCGGGAGCCATCGGTGTAATATACGGCGCACCCAGGGTGCTCTGCTGCTGCAATACTCACTGCAGCCCATTGCTGCAGCACGTGTTGTGGACAGTGACGCTTGCCAACTGGGAGGTCTTGGATGTGGATCACAACTGCTTCTGGTGCCCAGGGCGGGAGTACAGAGTACCCGCCACAGGCCGGTCACAGCCCTTGTCGACTATAAGCGCATGGGGAGGG